GCCTGGAGTTTGCTAAAAAACACCTGAAGGACTCCAAGATGGTGAGAAATAAGATTCTCTGGTCTGATGAGACCAAGATAGAACTTTTTGGCCTTAATTCTAAGCGGTATGTGTGGAGAAAACCAGGCACTGCTCATCACCTGTCCAATACAGTCCCAACAGTGCAGCATGGTGGTGGCAGCATCATGCTATGGGGGTGTTTTTTCAGCTGCAGGGACAGGACGACTGGTTGCCATCGAGGGGAGGATGAATGCGGCCAAGTACAGGGATATCCTGGACGAACACCTTCTCCAGAGTGCTCAGGACCTCAGACTGGGCCGAAGGTTCACCTTCCAACAAGACAATGACCCTAAGCACACAGCTAAAATAACGGAGTGGCTTCACAACAACTCCGTGACTGTTCTTGAATGGCCCAGCCAGAGCCCTGACTTAAACCCAATTGAGCATCTCTGGAGAGACCTGAAAATGGCTGTCCACCAACGTTTACCATCCAACCTGACAGCACTGGAGAGGATCTGCAAGGAGGAATGGCAGAGGATCCCCAAATGCAGGTGTGAACTTGTTGCATCATTCCCAAAAAGACTCATGGCTGTATTAGCTCAAAGGGGTGCTTCTACTAAATACTGAGCAAAGGGTCTGAATACTTATGACCATGTGATATTTCAGTTTTTCTTTTTTAATAAATCTGCAAAAATGTCAAAAATTCTGTGTTTTTCTGTCAATATGGGGTGCTGTGTGTACATTAATGAGGAAAAAAATGAACTTAAATGATTTTAGCATATGGCTGCAATATAACAAAGAGTGAGAAATTTAAGGGGGTCTGAATACGTTCCGTACCCACTGTATATGCACATACTGGTAAAAGGTAATTTTATTTATTTAGCATGTTTTCATGTGCAAAATCAAAGTGCTTTACATAATGCATAAAAACATTAAACTAAGTATAAAACTTAAAAGAAGTTCATGCATTTTCCTTCCATGCATTTATGTAAACATTTGATTTATATTGGAATGCCAGTATTTTCTGTGCCCAGTATTCTGTGGTAAATATGGTTTATATGGACATTTATTCCATTTTATGTGTAGCCAGGTGGTAAACAAGGGGAGATAAATAAATAACTCATTTGTTTTCCACTGATGGTGAAAGGTTCCCTAAATGTTTTCAACATTCCAAATGTCATGTAATGTTTATGGTTTTCATGTTAATGTAACATAGTTCAATTTTGGTGACATGTAAAAGTAACCTACAGTGGGCTATTGGAGTTTAATGCTACCTAGTATCTTGGCCACTAGATGGCAGTACGGAGTGACAGGTGTACATTCTGCCAGAACTTGACCAAATGCATTGTGGTCCCTTCTTTCTTTTACGTTGGACTTAGCTTGAGAGTGGAGCGCCGTGATTTTTTTGGACCTATATGCCGATGGTGCTGGAGGCAGTGTGACCAACGTGGGGCTGGTGAGCTTTTGGTGGAATCCCACTGCCGTATTTTGTTACCCCGTATTTTGTTACCCCCTTTTTTTTTTTTTGTTATTCCGTATTTTGTTCTATGCTCAAATAAACGGACCTGCTGGACATCGAAGCTGCAAGGACCCCAGTTATTGTGTCCCGTGTGACAACCATTTTACCCGGGCTACATATGTATGTCTTTCCATGTGTTATGAGTTATTGTTAAAACACATGGTTGCAGTATAAAGATGTATTTTTGAGCTTCACTTAAATGACCAATTCTATGTTGATTTCTCAGTAGATTTACTGCCAACAGTGTGCAAGAGTTGACTGCCTACCCCTAACTGAACGGCGTTACAAACATAAATTGGTGACAAGCAAAAACTCTATCATACTGTAGTTATTCATGCTTATCATAAAACGTGCTAAATACAAAGCACACTATAAACATGCCAAATCTCCTTCTCCTATAATGGAAATTAATGATCTTTATTCATGGAAATATGTGTGAAATCTATTCTTTGATTTAAAAATATATTCAGGGTAATACGGTCCCACAGATGATGAGCATTGATCCATTTAATTATAAATGTACATACAGATATATCATGCAGCCAACCCTGACAGTCAGTTTTAACAAAAGACCAGTACTAACCCCATCCAACA